AACTTTAAAAAGAAAAGTAAGCGGTACTCATACTCGTAATTATGGAGGACAAAAAGTCTTAAATGAACTAGAGGAAACTAATTTATGTGAAGGTTTATTATTGTGTGCTAAATGGGGGTTTCCTATGACAAGAAAAGACTTAAGATTATTAATTAAAAGTTACCTTGATAAGATAGGACGTAGTGAAAAGCGATTCAAAAATAATTTACCTGGAACCGATTTTGTTATATTTCACAATTTCACGTTACTACGTTAGTCGTTGTCGATTAAATTAATCGCCAACATATTGATATTAATTGTTTATCCGTTTTCGCGCTTCCTGCAGTGTCGAGATTAATGTTTTATATTTACCTATACTATACTTATATACTATACTTAATATATTTCATGATATAAAATAATTCTTAGATACACATTTTTGTAATTCAAAATAAAATAGTAATCATATGTATACAGTTTTAAATATTTGTTATTATATTAAATGCATATGCATAGTTTGATAAATTTGCATTATTTAGAGTCCAGACATAATATTACAATTTAAAAAAATTATCTTGCAAAACTAGTTCATTGATTTATAAGGATTGTATGTAAAAAAAATAATGTGCTAAATGCCCAACGGAACGTTTTAGTACCAGGATCAAAATGTTAAACTGACCAACGGTACTTCTAAGTACCAAGTGCTTAACTCAAATTCGGGCTAAAAAAAATTTTTAAAAAGGTGCACTTATTTATCAATAGGTGTATTATCATGTGTTTTTGCAAAAAAAAATGGAAAAATAATTTTATTTCTAAGTCTGGTCAACAAAGGGTTAAATAACTGAACCACAGTGATATTATCAAACCGTGGTTAATTAGTGAAGAAGTAAGTTTATTAACTTTACCGGGGTTTAAAATATTATGGTGTTATAATTCCTCAACGGCTTAGAACATAACCGTAATATAATAATCATACCTATATATTTACTAGCTGACCTCACGCACTTTATTGCCCGTACAACTATTAACTTTAAAAAAAAATGTGATCGTTTAACTTATTTTAGGTGCAATTTAGCCTCCCTGATAAGCAATCTTGCTACTTGGTTAATCAATGACAACCAATAATAAATAAATACTGATTATTTCTGCTATATCTTAAACTTTAAGATTAATTAATTACTAATTAATTTACTATTATAGCATACAATTTTTATTGCAGCTACAGTAATATATTGGGTATTTTGTTTAACTAAAACATATAATTTAGGTGATACATTTACAGTTGAATGTATTAGTTATTATAATTATCAAAAATTGAATGAACGGTAAATCGTCACATATAAAATTAAAATAACTAAAAGAATTATATACTTGGAAAAAAATGTATCATCAAAATTCATATTATGTTTGACTAATTACCTTATTAACATAAATCTTTTACTTAAANAAATTGGAAAAAATGTTTGGTGCTCTGATGACCGAAGTCAAAGATTACAATTCTCGGAACATGTTAAAAAGTTTTACAGATATTTAAAACCCAAGTGAAAGTAAATCATATATTAAATTATTATTATTTAATACATTTTTGAATACAATTTTCTTCAATAATACATTTTTCAGATGTTAAACAAGCTGTAACATTTTACTTACTACGATCTATATTTGTTCCTACATCAAAAAAAAGTTACAATCGACGACAGAGGAAAAAAATATAATTAAATACTCGATAAAAGATTTACAAAATACATTCATGGTTTTTTGCAGTACAGTGACTATGGTCGAAGAGTATATTGCTAATCGTAATCAACTTAAATTATCCATTCAGCCCTTTATTTTAATCGTCGGTACTTCACTAGAACGTCTAGAACCAAAGGAAATAATTGTATATTTTGATTCTATTCAATCTAAAGTTTTTATTGTTATGAGAGCAATAGATCTATGTTTTAAGATTTTTCAACTATTTAATATAGAATATCYAATTCAATCGGGAGCAGTTTGGCTCTTTATCCCTTTGTCGACCGACGGTACTTTTTAGTACCACATTACAAATAAATGTATATTAAATAATACGATGCATTTATCTTTACTGTGACCCGTCGGTACGCACAAGTACCTCTTTAGCTACAAGAAAAAAATAAAACTATGGTCTAAATTTAGAAATATAACTGTGTAAATAGATGTCAAAGTAAACAATGTACACGAAAATTCTTAGAACCAAACATGCCCACATCAGGCTGAGTTTTAAACACGTACAAAAGYTATTTTTAGCATTCTTATCCGCTAGAATTGTTTGCAATTGTGTCTAGATTATAAATATTGTTATCGTATAAATATCGATGTATTAAAAGAGGGGAAAAAATCTGATTATATGCAGTGGACTCAAAAGTACCGTCGGGCCATTAGCTATTTCACAATTTCACGTTAGTCGTTGTCGATTAAATTAATCGCCAACATATTGATATTAATTGTTTATCCGTTTTCGCGCTTCCTGCAGTGTCGAGATTAATGTTTTATATTTACCTATACTATACTTATATTTGCTATAATATAAGATTTTACAATATATTAAAATGAATAATCATAATACCCATGAATTGGAACAGTGGTTGCTTGAAGATTTTCCATCGGACATAGATACTGACATAGAAATGTCTGATGATGATGTCGATATAGGTAAGTGCCTATATGAAATTCTACGAAATTAATTTTTTAATTTTACCGATATTTTTTATTAGTTAACTCAAATCTAAATGATTTTACAATTTTGAACCAATCCTTTGAAGAACAAAGTGAACCAAATGAACCAATTATTGTTGTTGTTCCACATGATGATAATAATAGTAAGAAAATTGACATTTGTTTAAAACATTTCATTTTTTAAAAATTAAAACTGCATTTGTTATATAGAAATCACACCTATCAAACTGGGAGCTTCAAGGGGTTTGGATAACTCTATAGTTATACCTTTTGAAGAAACAGATTTTCTCAAAAACTCTGGTAAGTTACCAATCATAATCTTTGACTAACTAAAATAGTAATATTATGATATAGGTAGATAATAAATATTTATTTTATTATATTTTTACTTTATAATTCTTAAATATAGCAGACAATAGACTCTATTTCTTATGTACTATAAAACATTAATGTGCAGAAATATAATTTTTAAGATTTTATTTCAATTTGTGAGTAGGTATCATGAATTTTCAAAATATTATTAGTAGCTAGGTAGTATAATATTTTGCTAACAACTTTTATGCAGGATTTCAATATTTATTTATTTTATATTAGCTAACTTGATATACCTATGTGACATGCTTTTTATTAATATTTATATTAGTTTTTAATTAAATGTAAAGTATAAAAATTATAAACCATTACTAAGGGTACAATATGATAAATTTTATTTTAATAAATTATTTATTATAAATTAATTTTGTTAGAAATTGTAGGATAATCAATTTCAGAACAATCATGTTACAAAATATGTTGATCAGTGATTCTACTAATAATATAATACTTCTTTATTATTAATTACTTCAATAAAATTCTATTCATTAATTTTAGTTATTATTTTACATTTTTATGATTTATTATATAATCAGTTTTACTTTATATAGGTATACAAATATAAATTATTTACAATAACTATAATAGTATAATACCTATGTATACTGTAATAGGTAGTATATTTCAATACAATAATTGATTACATAGTATTATACACAAAATATTTTTCTAGCAAATGTTCATTCATGTCAACCTGGTCCATCGAATTCATCACTTGCTATTCCACTTGATGAAATTGATGAAGAACGTGATACCAATTTGGGCGAGAATAAAATAAATACATTTTTAATTATTAAATCTATAAAATAAATATTTTTATTTTTATTTATAGAACCAACACCCAAGAGAAAGAAAAATCAAAGTTGTTTAATAAAAAAGAGCAAACAATCAAACTTGAAGAAAACAAAACCAAAAAAGAATACAGCTCCTGTAACCGAGGATGTGACAGATGAATACCATCGCATTTGGAGAAAAAAGGAATGTAAAACAGATGTTCCAAGTTATAATAATTCTGAAGGTCCAGTTGAAGATTTATTTCTTGATACAACTCCTACTAGTGTTTTTTTGACTTTATTTGAAGGTATACTTGATCATATTGTATATCAAACTAATTTATATGGCACACAAAAAAATTTAAATTTAAATATAAAGCCATATGAAGTTTTGAATTTTTTGGGAATTAACTTTTTAATGGGCTATCATCGGCTACCAAGTTGGAAACATTATTGGAGTTGTGCACCAGATTTATCAGTTCCTTTTGTGGCTGCCACAATGACAAGAAATCGTTTTGATTTGATTTTGACAAACTTACATTTAAATGATAATACTCTTATTCCAAAAGATAATAAAGATAAACTTTACAAACTGAAACCTTTAATAAATTATCTTAATGAAAAATTTCAACTAGTATATCATGGAACCAACCAGTTATCTATTGATGAATCTATGATTCTTTTTAAAGGTAGAAGTACCGTTAAAACAATATAATCCGATGAAGCCTATAAAAAGAGGCTATAAGTTATGGTGTCTAGCAGACCAAAAAGGTTACATCAAAAAATTGCAGGTATATCAAGGAAAAGATGAACAATTAGAAAATGAATTTAAAGATTGTGGTCTAGGTGAAAGAGTTGTGCTGTCTTTGACAAAAAATGAATGGGGAAAAAAAACAATTTTTTTACATCTATACCACTGCTTGAAAAATTTAAGATTGAGAACAGTTTAGCATGTGCAACAATACGAGCTCATAGAAAAGGTATTCCTATACTTCACGACGACTCAAAATTAGCAAGAGGATCTACAGATTGCAAAATAACTGACTCTGGAATTGGAGTTTTTAAGTGGAAAGATACAAAATCAGTTTTGTTAGCATCCAACTACCATGGCACAGAAAAAACAAGCAAGGAGTGTCAACAGAAATACCTTGTCCCCAGATAATAAAGGATTACAACAACTATATGGGAGTAGTAGACCATGCAGACCAACTGAGAGTTACATATGGAGTAGATAGACGATCAAAGAAGTGGTGGCACAGACTCTTCTGGGGTATGATTGATATTCTATTTGTGAACGCTTATATAATATATAAAGATCTGAACGGACCAATGACACTATTAGAATTTAGACGCATTGTTGTTCAAGGGCTAATAAATAAAAAAGAACAGCTAACTCCAGTAAGAGGTATCTTTCAGAGAAAACCTAAAGAAAATAAAGGTCAAATAAATAAGCGCAGAGGAAAAAAATGTTCTGTTCCTAATGATGTAAGATTTGGTAACCGTGGCATACACTGGATTAAATATGTAGATGAACGAGGAAGATGTGAGGTATGTTCAATGAATCAGATACAGTCAAGACCACGTTCAAAATGTACACATTGTGGCATATTTCTTTGTTCTAATGAAAAAAAAAATTGTTTTAATATATTTCATGATATAAAATAATTCTTAGATACACATTTTTTGTAATTCAAAATAAAATAGTAATCATATGTATACAGTTTTAAATATTTGTTATTATATTAAATGCATATACATAGTTTGATAAATTTGCATTATTTAGAGTCCAGACATAATATTACAATTTTAAAAAATTATCTTGCAAAAATAATTCATTGATTTATAAGGATTGTATGTAAAAAAATAATGTGCTAAATGCCCAACGGTACGTTTTAGTACCAGGATCAAAATGTTAAACTGACCAACGGTACTTCTAAGTACCAAGTGCTTAACTCAAATTTGGGCTAAAAAAATTTTTTAAAA